CACCGCTCTGCCGTTAGGGCACCCTCTTCCCTTGCTCCACACCGGCTCTCCCGTCAGCCTCCACGTGCTGTTGTGTGTGCGCTCCCCAGGTTTCTTTAAAAGTGAAGATTTCGTCGGATTTCCTAGGTATTTTTTTTTTCCCCTCCCTTTGCTCTGTCATCGTAGTCAGTGTTGGCCGGAAAGAAGGCCCGGCTCGTTAGGCGCAGGAGAAGGGCCCGGAGCGTTAGACTTGGGAGCGAGCGGTGCACCCCGCGGCGCGTGCCGGTGGAATGCGTGCCCTGGGCGCCCGGTAACGGAAAGGCGCGGAGGTGGGGCGGTCCAGGTTAACGTGAAAGCTGGTTTTGTCCGAAGGTTCTGGCGACGGCACCGGATCGTGCAGAGCGACGCTGGCCTGGCGCGAAGGCAGGAAGCCCTGACCCCCGGGAGCTGGACAAAGGCCGTGGGGCTCTGGAAGCCGTGCCTCCGGCTGCTCCCCGGTTGGGGATGGATGGATGTTTTTGGGAAAAACCCGTGCCACGTGGATTCGTCTTCATTTTCAGTGCCTATTGGGGACCCCGGCTCTGTACCTTCAGGCCTTTGGTTTCCATTTTAACCATCTACATTATCAAAGGATAAAAGGCAGGTCATCATCACGAATAATTGGGGACAAGGGGTAGATTCTTTTCTGCAGGGGAAACTCACGCCTTTAGAGTTTGAATGTGCTTTATCGTAACTTTGGGCTTTAAGAAGTTGTCGCATTTTTCTCTCCTTGACCACGTTTGGAAAATGACTCGTTATTCACTAGTTAAAATCAAATGGATCTGAAATCGTGCCTTTTTAAATTTAGCCCTCGTCCAGTCGTGCCCCCCCTCCCCCCAGGCTTGATTAGAATATACTCATTTCTTGTTGTTTAGTGATAATGGTATTAGGGGGATGAATTTTGGCTAAAAATAGCAGCAAAATAAGTTTATTAATTTCACTGACTTGCCCTTAAATGAGCTCTTAAGGACCCATTTCCTTCTTTTCATAGGTTAGAAGTTCTAACCTATCTCTGTCTAGAAAAGTACTTGTGTTGCACTCAGAAGTAGTAAAATTTTAAGTGCTTTAGAGTATTTGTGTTTTGTTTTTTTGTGTGATGTTCTAAGAATAGAAGTTCTGCAGAATTTACTTAAGGAAATTACATGGCAACTACAGGAAAAGTGCTTATTTTGAGAACTGATCTCTTATAGGTAGTTGGTGGTCTCTTATGTTATTATAGAGAGATAAATGGTACATTACCCTAGTACAGTGGTCGGCAAACCGCGGCTCGCGAGCCACATGCTGCTCTTTGGCCCCTTGAGTGTGGTCTTCCACAAAATACCACGTGCGGGCTCACACATACAGTGCGATTGAAACTTCGTGGCCCATGCGCAGAAGTGGGTTTCGGCCTGGGCCAGTCATTGTCATGATTTAATTTTATGGATATTGTAATGAATTTAATTTTATCAGTAAATAATATCGTTATTAAGTATGATATCAAGTTTTATTCAATGTACCTATAGTTTAACTAAGACTTAAAACTTAGTTTATTAAGTTAATTTTAGGGAACGTTATGGAGTGAAAGAGGATGTAGTATCGAGGATTGAGAAAGATATGTTGAGATGGTTAGGACATATAGAGAGGATGAATGAAAGGAGATAGACGAAACAAGTATACAAGACGAGTGTGGATGGGAGAGTTGGCTCGTGAGCCACATGCGGCTCTTTGGCCCCTTGAGAGTGGCTCTTCCGAAGCCTTAGGAGTACCCTAATTAAGTTAATAACAATGTACCTACCTATATAGTTTAAGTTTAAAAAATTTGGCTCTCAAAAGAAATTTCAATTGTTGTACTGTTGATATTTGGCTCTGTTGACTAATGAGTTTGCCGACCGCTGCCCTAGTATCTCAAGGCAAAAAAGTTTAAGCATTTGTTATATTTAATTGTGACAAATTGAAACAATTTTTCTATAGTCTGCTTAAATTGAATTTAAAAATTTGCACTCATTTTAACTACTTAGTTAAAATAATTGTTTTTAAATTAGGATATATTACTAGAAATCTTTTGAATTTGACATATAATTACTCATTGAAACATCCCTAACGTTTCTTGATTTATTTATGTTCTCAGGATAAATCTTTTAAAAAATAAAATAATAGCCGAAACCAGTTTGGCTCAGTGGATAGAGCGTCGGCCTGCCGACTGAAAGGTCCCAGGTTCGATTCCGGTCAAGGGCATGTACCTGGGTTGCGGGCACATCCCCCGTAGGAGATGTGCAGGAGGCAGCTGATCGATGTTTCTCTCTCATCGATGTTTCTAACTCTCTATCTCTCTCCCTTCCTCTCTGTAAAAAAAAAATCAATAAAATATATTAAAAAACTAAAATAATAAAAATTTGGCAAGGACAAATGATGTGTACTTACACTGCTTTCTAAAATATTTTAAAAGTAAAAAAGGAGCTAACTCAGTTTGCATAAGAAGGAGTCTCAGAACTTGAATGGGGACAACTATTCCAGAAGCCATTTATAGTTTTTGTTAAATTGCTGGTGTGGATGTTGGTATATTGAATAAATTAGGCTGTACTTGATTTTTTTGATACTGTGCAGATTTTTCTTTTAAATACACATTTTTTTTAGAGCAGTTTTTTTTAGGTTCATAGCAATATTGAATAGAAGGTACAGAGATTTCCATATACCTACCATGCAAATGTTTTAATAGTAAATCACAATATTTTAAATACCAGTTTGACATTGATAATTAAGATGTAGACTGTGCCAAATAATTTCTTGATAACTTTTTTAGTTTAGCTAATAGTTTTTTAACCCATGGACCCTTTTCAAGAGAAAATAAACTTTGTAGACCTTAAAGAATATGACTTCAGATCCTACTTTGTGGAAGAGTAGTACTTAACTGTAAGTACCGAATTAAAACAACATTTATTTGCCCATTAAGAACAAATTTATAATTATTAGCAGGTCATAAAAACTTATTTGGAAAGACTACTTTGGGTATCTCAAAGTATTAGATGTGAATTTCCTTAAACACTAAGTTGGGATTTTTCAGTAGTTAATACTGATAGTTCCCAAACATTCCAAATTAATGTATTTTTATTATATTTTTACTTTCCTACATTGTCATTTGTGTTTCTTCATTAGAACTCAGGAGATAGCTTAAGAAGATTATCTGAACATTTTTCTGTTTGGCTTGAGGTGAATTTTATTTTTTTAAAATATATTTTATTGATTTTTTACAGAGAGGAAGGGAGAGGGATAGAGAGTTAGAAACATCAATGAGAGAGAAACATTGATCAGCTGCCTCCTGCACACTCCCCACTGGGGATGTGCCCGAAACCAAGGTACAAGCCCTTGACTGGAATCGAACCCGGGACCCTTTAGTCTGCAGGCTGACGCTCTATCCACTGAGCCAAACCGGTTAGGGGAGTGGTTCTCAACCTTACTAATGCCGCAACCCTTTAATACAGTTCTTCATGTTGTGGTGACCCCCAATTTCATTGTTACAAATTGAACATAATTAAAGCATATGATTAATTACAAAAACAATATGTAATTATATATGTGTTTTCTGATGGTCTTAGGCGACCCCTGTGAAAGGGTTGTTCGACCCCCAAAGGGGTCTCGACCCACAAGTTGAGAACCGCTGGGTTAGGGCTTGAAGTGAATTTTAATAGTAATTCTTTTAGGAGTTTAAGGAGTAGTAGTTGAGTTTAAGATAGGGAGTGGTAGTAGTTGAGATTTTTGATTTTAGGGATATTTTACTATTTGCCTTAATTATATTTGGTTCCATGTTTGGAAGTGTGAGCTGTGTATGTAGAACTTAACATTGTATCCAAATGATAGCCATTGTTTGGATTTTGCTTTAAAAATTAGTGTTTGAATTTAAAATGTTAGTGCTTCATTAATTTATTTTGTCATTTTGAATGGTTGTTTTTTAAATTTGATTTGGTCTTATGTTTTGAAAGGGAGGAGAATTGCAAGAGAGTCAGACATAAGTTAGGTGTTGGGTCTTTTCATGGTTGGAAGAGATTGAAAGTTTTTGGGAATTTTCTGGTGTTTTTAAATTGTCATTTTACTTGTGGAGCAGTTCTCTTTTTCTTTTTTAAGTGAATGTAAAATTTTGTATACAGTGAAATGCACAGACCTTAATGATAGAATTCATTTAGTCTTAATAAATTTATACACCCATGTAACCTACACTCCAATTAAAATATATAACATTTTCATCATGCCTTTCCTTGTACCATCTCAAGTTTAGTTTATAAAAGGCTTTTGTTTTTAAATAACTTGCAGATGTCTATTCTGAATGTGTACCCCCTTTTTGCTAAAGGATGATTCATTTCCTCTTGGAATAAAAAAGGTCATCTTGTAATGTCCGTAGTTGTGGTTCCTTCACTTTTTAAGTAGGTCATTCTGAAGTGACTATCCTAATCTGGCGTTGTTTAAGATCAGTTACAGGGTTCTGGGATTAATTATATTTCATTTTCTTTCCACAGTTAAGTTGCTTTTACAGAATTAACAGGTCTCCAAGAAATAATAAAAAGGTAAGACATTCAGAGCTTAAGGCTTTTTACAGAGGCTTGACAAAAAAGCGTAAAAGTAAAATAATACATCTTAGGTATCCATGCCTTCTGTACTTTATGTCTGGCCAGTGATGCACTAGTGGTAAGCAACTTATGAGCAAAAATTATATACTGACCATAGATGGCTTTGTGAATATGTAAAATTCCTTGTGGTAAAATTCTTTAAACCACAAAGTTCTCTCTTATGTGTCAATAGAAGATATGTTTCTTAGTGAGTTTGAAAATAGTTTGGTCTTGGTGTGAAGCAGCACTTGGCAGACTTACAAGAAGATTTGATATTTTTATTGTTCATACTATATAGGATAGGTGATATGAAAATGTATCTTTGAAGTAGTTGGTTTATTTATATGTTCAGATAGGAGGAAGTTTATTCCTTTTTTAAAAATTGGATGCAGTCAATATTTTTGTGAACTTGTATTTTGTTTTCATTTATGCTGAAGAAGGTAGGAACCAAGTAATTATTAAGCTTAGTGTGGGATAAGGTACTTCAAAAATAAGACTTGCTATTATGTGTACCTTTTTGTCTGCAGGTCATTATTGCTGTGATTTGAGCTCAGCATGGCTGTAGTCATCCGTTTACTGGGGCTTCCTTTTATTGCTGGGCCTGTGGATGTTCGTCACTTTTTCACGGGATTGACTATTCCTGATGGAGGAGTGCATATAATTGGAGGGGAAAAGGGGGAGGCTTTTATTATTTTTGCAACAGATGAAGATGCAAGACGTGCCGTAAGTCGTTCTGGAGGGTTTATCAAGGATTCATCTGTAGAGCTCTTTCTTAGCAGTAAGGCAGAAATGCAGAAGATTCTAGAAATGAAAAGAACTGATCACATAGGAAGAGAGCGGCCAGGATCTGGGGCATCAAGGGTTGGCTGCTTAAGTAATTTTGTTGAGGATGTTAAAGAAGAAGCAAGTAATTCTGGATATGGCTCTCCGATTAATCAAGATGCTGGGTTTCATGCTAATGGTACAGGACATGGTGATTTAAGGCCAAGAAAGACACGGCCATTGAAGGCTGTGAATCCTTACTTGTTTCTACGAGGTTTGCCTTACGTAGTAAATGAAGATGATGTACGTGTCTTTTTTTCTGGTTTGTGTGTGGATGAAGTAATTTTCTTAAAACATGATGATGGCCGAAATAATGGTCATGCCATGGTAAAATTTGCTTCATGTATTGATGCTTCAGGAGGTCTTAAATGTCATAGAAGTTATATGGGTTCCAGATTTATAGAAGTAATGCAAGGCTCAGAACAACAGTGGATTGATTTTGGTGGTAGTTCAGTTAAGGAGGGTGACATTCCTGTGAGAACTGAAGAACATTCTCCACCAAGAGGAATCGATGATAGACATTTTCGAAAACGATCTCATTCAAAATCTCCCAGAAGAACACGTTCTCGTTCCCCTCTCGGGTTTTATGTTCACTTAAAAAACCTGTCCCTAAGTATTAACAAAAGAGATATAAGGAATTTCTTTAGAGATACTGATCTGACTAATGAACAGATTAGGTTTTTATATAAAGATGAAAGAAGAACAAGATATGCCTTTGTGATGTTCAAGACTCTGAAAGACTATAACAGTGCTCTGGGTTTACATAAGACTGTTTTACAATATCGTCCAGTTCTTGTTGATCCAATTTCTAGAAAACAAATGTTGAAGTTCATTGAATGTTATGAAAAGAAAAGACCAGCATCAATAGAGAAAGAGAAGCTTGGACGTGTTTCACAAAAATACTCTCAAGAAGGCTACTCTGGCCAGAAACTGTGCATATATATAAGAAATTTTCCATTTGATGTTACAAAAGCTGAAGTGCAAAAGTTCTTTGCAGACTTCTCTCTTGCTGAGGATGACATTTACTTGCTTTATGATGACAAAGGAGTTGGTCTGGGAGAAGCATTGGTGAAATTCAAATCAGAAGAACAGGCCATGAAAGCTGAACGTCTAAATCGTCGAAGATTCTTGGGGACAGAGGTATTGTTAAGACTCATATCTGAAGCACAAATGCAGGAGTTTGGTGTAAATTTTTCCAGTAAGAGAAGGCAAGACCATTCACAGTCATGTGATAGAGAAGACCCTGCCCATTCCTTTGACTCAAATGACCCACCAGGATACACAAGGGGCCATTCTGTAAACTTTAGGCATCAGGACAGTTTCAAGCATGCCCAGGGGGATTTCCAGCGGCCCGAGCGGTGCCCTCCAGAAGACCTCAGGCGCTCCCCAGAGGACCTCAGGCACCGGCGAGAGGGACATTTCCGGAGGCCTCCCGAGGAGGACTTGAGACGGCACTGGGAGGATTTCAGGTACCATCGGGAAGAGGGCTTAAGTCACCCCAGGGAGGAGGACTGGAGGCGGCCACCAGAGGACGATTTCAGGCCTCCTAGGAGGGACTTGAGACGATCCCCCGAGGACTGGAGGTGGCCCTCGGAGGAAGACCGGAGGCGACCTCCCCAGGGCGAGTTCAGGCGGCCACTGGAGAAGGATTGGAGGGGCCCCCCGGAGGAGGATTGGAGACGACCCCCCGAGGCTGACTTCAGGCGGCTTCCCCAGGGGGAGTGGAGGCGCCGACCCAAGGAGGACCTCAGGCGGCCCCCGGACGAGGATTTCAGGCGGCTCAGGGAGGAAGACTTCAGGCAGCCTTCGGATCAGGACTTCAGGCGGACTCCCGAGGAGGATTTCCGGGGTTCTCCTGAGGAGGACTTGCGGCGGCGGCGGCCCCAGGAGCACTTCCGGAGGCCGCCCCAGGAGCACTTCCGACGGCAGGAGCCTTTCCGGAGGCCGCCCCCGGAGCACTTCAGGCACCCCCTGGAGGAGGATTTCAGGCGCCCCCGGGATGAAGACTTCCGGCGCCTTCCGGATGAAGACCTTAGGCACCCTCGTGAGGAGCACTTCCGGAGCCCCCAGGAGGAAGATTTCAGACGCCCTGCTGATGAGGACTTCAGGCGGCTCCCGGAGGAAGATCGCGGGGAGGCTCCGGAGGAGGACTCGAGACTTCTGGACCATTTCGGGCCGCCCGGGGAGGAGTTCCGGAGCCCACCCGATGATTTTAGAAGTCATCGTCCTTTTGTGAATTTTGGTCGCCCAGAAGGTGGCAAATTTGATTTTGGAAAGCGTAACGTGGGAAGTTTTCCTGAGGGGAGATTTATGCCTGATCCAAAGTTAAATTGTAGTTCAGGTAGAATAACACCTATTAAAATAATGAATCTTCCATTTAAAGCTAATGTTAATGAAATTCTAGACTTTTTCCATGGTTATAGAATTATACCTGATTCAGTTAGGATACAGTATACTGAGCAAGGATTACCTACAGGGGAAGCCATTGTTGCTATGATAAACTATAACGAAGCCATGGCTGCTATTAAAGATTTAAATGACAGGCCAGTTGGCCCGCGCAAGGTTCGGTTAATTTTGCTCTAGAGAGCACTTTCGAAGTCGGAGTTACCTCTTCCCAGTATTGATACAGTAAAATGCTTTCATGTTTTTTTAAAAAGTGTTTATTTTAATTATCTAATGAAACCATTTAAAATTGACCTGTGACTAGAACAAATGTAAGTAGTAGAATGTAAGTCTAGTTTTCTTTTGCTTGCAAATTGTCGTTTTTTTCTAATTAAAATTATATGGTTTTCTTTTGTTTTTTTGGTTGTTGTTGATTGACAGTAGGGAAGAGGACTAATTCCCTGAGTGCATTAGTTTTTTTGTTGATATCCTGGGTAAACCTCAAGACCTGTATGAAGTAGAGCTGTATTTGAATAAGATACATTTTATATTCACTTTTGTTTGCATTCTGTAGTCTGCATCTTTTACTAAAAAATGTATAAGGAAATGGTCAGTAACTGGTTGTTCAGGTTTAACATTTTCATGGGGACTGCCTGCAGAATTAATGCCCTCTTTCTTGTCTGAGATATTACTGTTAAGCTTCCCATTATCAATACTTCAAAGTGAACATACTGTGAACTTGAAATTTAGTTATGTAAAAAAGTTAGGAGATTCTTAGTTTCTATGTTCATAACTTGAAAAGTTTTATAAAAATAAAAAAATTAAAACTGGAGAGACCAACTAATTAACTTGTATTTGTATAAAAGGTAAAAAGAATTACAGCTTCTTTTGTGAAGTTTTTCAGCAGCTACATTAAATATTTATATTAGTGCAGAGTGTTATGTATAGTTCTATGGTTTCTTCAACATCTCATCAAACAAACTGATAATTTAACTCAAAATACTTAAAAGACAAAGTAATTGTAGATTCAAGGAGACTTTCAGGCTTATGCTGGGAACAACTGATAAATGGATATAGTTTGTGTTTCTAGGAAGAATTTTCTGATGATCCATATAACTTCTATTTAGGTTCTCATTTCTTAAAATTCAAAACTTTGTATCAAAAGACTTACTAAATATAATGAGACTTGTGAGATTGAATTTTGACTTTGATACTCAACATTTAGTGTAGACATTTTTGCAAATACTGGATTTGATTTTTCTATACCCATAATAATAATGGCTAAAAAATACTGGGCACCTACTGTGTGCTAGGAAATATAAGTGCTTTACATGCACGATCTCGGTATGATAAGAACCATGAGTATTATTTACCCCTGCTTCACAAATGAGATAATGAAGTTTGGAGAGGTTAAATAACACTTTAAATCATAGCTAGTAAATCATGGAGTCAGTTACAACAGACTCACTGCTGACTTCAGTTCATGTTCTTAACACTTTTGCCTGCTAACTTTGTTAAATGGTACTTTAAATTTTAGTAAGACGGTGCTAAAAATATTTTCAAGCATGAGCCCTATTTTCTTACTTCCATTGTTTTAAAAATAGCGTTAAAAATAAAATTAGTATTCTCAAACATTATTAATAAACAAAGTAACTTTAAAAGTTTTTATATATCGAGGGTTTCTTTTGTATACTAACATTACATATTGGCTTATTTAAAATTGTTCATTTTACCAAACTAAATTTGATTGTGGGCTTTTATAGTTACATAAAAGGAAGTTAATTTTTTCAATTCTGTGATCCAGAGATTATCCACATTGAGCAAATAAGTATAAAATTTGAGTTTATATACTGTAGTTATCATTTAGTAATAGGGTATTGCAGAAGTAGAATATATTTAGTCAGTTAGTACTCTAAGTATTTTGGATTCATCTTCAGTGATTTAAAGTCAAAGGAAGCCAACTTTGTTTTTTGTTTTTTTTTAAAATAATGAATATCCTGCTTGCTGCTAGAATGAGTAAACTGGTAAATTTGTTTTTAAAAAAAAGCACATCAGTATGACTCCTTAAATTAGTAAGCTTTTAAGTAGCTAGGAAAATGATAAACTAATACCCAAACCAAGCACAATGAACAAAATAGATATTTTTAAGTGCTAAAAGATTATATAGATGGTTCATTTGACCAGCATTCTTAAGGAATGTATGGGAGACAAAAACATACCAAATACATATTACAAGCTAAAATGAAGCTTAAAAAGTGAAATATCACAATGTGGAACTGCTGAAAGTAGGCTGGGGTGGTGTGATAGTGGTAGCTGAAGCCAACAATAGTAAACATAAGCTTTAAAAAAAATCCTTACCGGAGGGTATGTTTAATTTTACGGGAGAGAGAGAGAGAGAAACATCAGTGTGAGAGAGATCAGTTGCCTCCCATAAGTGTCCCTACCCAGGATCGAACCCATAACCATTTTGTTGTTCAGGATGCTCCAAACAACTGAGTCACCTGGCGAGATGTAAACATAAGCTTTGTATTTAGATTATAAATGTAAGATTAATGAATTGATATGAATAATTTTATTCCATAATCTATCAGTTTAATATATTTAAAATTTTTTTAAAGTTTATTATACAAAGCTGTCTTCTATTGGTTGGGAGCCATTTTTTCCCATCTTTTCCCAGCTCTGCCTCCAGTGATGTTAATGATTGAAATTAGCCATGGAGTTTTACAACACAGAAATTGGCAAATGAAACAAATCGGGGTGCTTTCTATTCTAGAGAGCCAGCTTACCAGCAAACCACCAAATTTCAAACACATAAAAGGAAATAATATGCTAAATCCTCATATCCCCATCATCCAGCTTCAGTAATTATCTCATAGCCAGTTTTTTTTACTTTCTCTTAATGTGAAAAATATCAGTCATATATAGGAAGTAACCAATCCCATAACCAGTAGTTGGGTAATCTTTTTAGGAGTCTACTTTTATCAATTACTGGGAACATGGTTAAGACCAATGGTTCTTAGTCCATATATCATCTATTAAGGAGTGACTCTGTCACCTCCATATTTGTATTAAATGTTAGCTATCATTTATTGAGCTGCATTAGGTAATATATATGTATGATCTGTAATTATATATGAGTTAACTATATCATTTAATCCCAATAACCTAAGAACCTAAAACCTGTTTTGGAGATAAGAAGTAGGCTATGTAACTGGTTGAGGTGGTTGTTTCTTTTTTACAAGAAGGCTAAAAGAGGTTTTAACATTTTTAAAGGTGGTTACATTTTAAATGGTTGATTTTTGTCTCTCGGCCCACGAATATAAAAAAATATTTACCATCTAGCCTTTAAAGAAAAAGTTTGCCAATCTCTATTTGGTCTAAAAGAAACTTAATTTTACATTGATGAAAGGTATTATCATCTATAGTATCCTTTTGTCCTCAGAATATTTCTTTGAGGTAAGCAAAGCATACATTTTATATCAGAATCATTTGCAAATTGCTTTATATATCAGACACTGTTGACTTTACAGAAAGGGCAACCGATGCTCAAGGGAAAGTAAGTGACTTGCTATTGTAAGCAGCAAGATAAATACTATAACCCTGTTTTTTTCCTCAAGTGCAACACCAAGATTAAATACTGGGAGATAAAAATGCAATAATATCCTCAATTTCTTAATATCAATTTAGGATTTTAAAATGTGTTGAATATTTTAAAGTTCTGAAGTAACTTTACCACATAGGACTATTCTCAGGAAGCAGTGCTTTGTTAAGAACAGAACCATGAATAACAGTCAAAAAAGCTTTCTAGAAAGTCTTTATTTTTCTGTAGTTTTCCCAAATGACTATAAATTTCATAGTTTTTATATGCCGGACTGGGACTCATGAAATAAAGTACAATGTCCTATCCAAAGAAACAAAAGCAGCAGCATACTGAAAGGCTCTGATTAAACTTTTAATTTTTCAGGAATAAGTGAAATTTTAAAACAATTTTATTAGATGGTAATTTGGTAGCATTTTTCATAGAATGTTTAATGATTTATGGTTTTCCATGATGCTTTCATAGCAACATTTCACCAAATTACAGGTTCCTAGAAGTTGTAGTACCACAACTTTAGTATGATAGTTTTGCTTTAAAACCAGAATCAGGCTGAATGTGGCTTTCTTTATAAAGCTGAAATATATACTGTATGTATAGTTGTAAAACACTGATACCCTAGACTTCCATTACTTTTAATCAAGAGTGACTATACTCTTGTTGAAAAGTAAATTTATGTATTAAATGAAGGAATTTCAGGTTTTAGTAAAAGTGAAAAAAAGATGTCTTTTTTATTAAGGCTTAATGGAATGGAATTTGTGTCTTAACCTAAGAGAAGCCAGTGGAATTGTTAAATATTTTTCTTTTTTGTCACCTATTTACTATTGCAACCTCAACTAGGTATATATAGTGCATTAATATGAAATACTTTTAAAATACATAGTCTTAAAAAAAAAAAAAGGGAACCTATACAAAATGATCACATACCACTAGACAGGATGTTGAAATGACTGGTGTGTAATGTTTTTTTTAAAGCCTCCATTTTTTGTCAACATAAATTTATTTTACATTACTAGAAGAATTTCATTTTGAAGTTTGATTGTATCAAGCCAGTATAAAGTTTTACAATTTAGTAATTCTGGATTCCAAGGCATTTAAGATAAAAATGGAAATGTGAAGTTTAAGAAAATTAATTTTCTTCTTCTGTTACATCTAAGTCTTCATCCTCTTCCTCATCATCGTCTGCTTGTTGATCCTTTCTTAGTCGACAAGTGGGTACCTGTTAAAAAGCACATTTTAAAGAATTCTAACTTAAAAATATTTTTACATGCTTGGTATCTTAAATGTGCCCTTACAAAGAATGGTACATAGGACAAGTATTTCAGAAAAATGTAAGTAATAATTTTTAGTAATGAAAATTCCCTATGAATTACTGTATTTTAAGGTAAAGAACAGTCAAAAGATTTTTTTGCTTGTTATTTTTTGAATAAAAATGTGAACTTAATCATTCCAGTAGGATACCAGTACTTCAATAACATAAAATACTTTCAGAAAAAAGTATAGTTTCAGTATATTATGAATGTCAAAATAAGTTTAGGTTAAACAATTCTTGGGTTTCAAAACAGGTATTTGAATGAGAATGATCAAAGGGATAGCAAAAACAAGGGTATTTCAACAAGGCAACTGAAATATTAAACTTTAAAAATAGTGTGATTTAAATGGAATGAGTTGATAAACAGAATTCATCACTTAGCATCAAGTCCTTAGTATTATCACTTGGGTCATCTTGTTTCAAACCTTTCTGAGAGTGATTATACCTCCTCGGGGACATTCGGCAATGTCTGGTGACACTGTTAACTGTCAGAACTGGGTGTGTGTGTGTTACTAGTCTCTTGTTAGTAATGACTAGTGATGCTGCTCAACATCTTTACAAGCACAGGCCACTACTACCCCCTCCACCACCAAGTTGTCTGGCCCCAAGTCTGTATAGTGTTAAGGTTGAGAAACCCTGGGATATCTAAAGTGCTACACAGATGTTAGCTAACTTGGGTAGCATCATTAACTGTACGTCAAACAAAACTTTATATGTACTGTAATACTAAATTTATTTAGTTTGTTTATAGCACTTAATGCTGGAATCATAAAAATGTAAGTTGTTTAAGGGGAGAGATGCATGAATATAAAGTAGTAAGCAAATGCTTAGAGGAGAGTCAGATGAAAACAAAAGTACTGGGTTGAATTTACCTAAAAGTTGTATTGTGAAAATATTTTGCTCAATTTTAAATTCTGAAGGCAGATATGAAAACACAGCTCTCTCAATTAGGAATTGGCAAGCTATGGCCCAGTTTGCCTGTTCTTTAAAAAATAAAGTTTTATTACAGCACAGCCATTTTTATTT